TTGAGGAAAAGAATCAGGACCCGCTGAGGGGCTTGTTGAGGGTAGAGGAGATACAGAATGGGTGGAGAAGGCCGTCATAAACACCAGCTAAGGCTATGTGACCAGTTGCAGAAATGATCATAACTGAGCTTTCTGTCCGATTTTGTTAGGAATGCGTGTGCTGGATAGCTTTACGTCAACCTGACAAAAGCCAGCACTGCAGGAGCAGAGGAGCCTCAGCTGAGAAAATGACTGCCGAACCTGTAGGGCATTTTCTTAGTGACTGACGGACGGGGTTGGGGGAAGACAGCCCATTCCGGGTGGGGCCCTCTCTCGGTTCATTAAGAAAGCAGGCTGGGCCAGCCATGGGAAGCAAGCCAGTAAGCAGCTCCCCTCCACGGTCTGTGCATCAGCTCCCACCTCCAGGTTCCTATCCCGACTTCAAAGACGAACAGCGATGTGGAAACAAAAGTCAAACAAACTCTTCCCCACAAGTTGCTTAGTCACGGTGTTTCATCCCAGTAATAACCCCGAGGAAAACACCACGCTTACACAGATATTTGTGTTCTCCTTCTGTAAGACTTTTAGACAATCCTGAAGCCATTTTTGACAATTCTAAATCCTCTCAGCCTCTGTACCATGGTGCTTCCCCTCCTCCCCTGGGAACCAAGGACCTAACAGCTACACTTGCACGAACTCAGTTCCTGAACAATTACCCATATACGTATGCTTTGGTTCGGTCCCCTGGGAAACGGGGTCAAAATGACCTCTTACCTCATCTGATCTGGCAACAGCTCTCCAGTCAATTATTGGTAATAGCCCTGCTTCTGTGGCCCCTTTAAAAGTAGACTGTACCCGCTATTCGAGGTCCCTCGGCTTCCCAAATGCTGGGGGACCCTGTCATGACAGAATTAATAAAATCCTCCTGCTTTTGCATCGAATGTGGTGTGTGAGATGGTCTCTGGGGGCAACTCCTTCTCGGTGTTTGGACGCTAGAGTCCAACACTTCTTTTGGTTTTTTGAGACAGGGTTTCTCTGTGTGGCCCTAGATGTCCTAGAATTTACTCTGTAGACCAGGTTGGCCTCAAACTCAAGAGATCTGCCTGCCTCTGCCTCCCAGGTGCCGGAGTTAAAGGTGAGCCTTACCACACTGGCTTGATTTATCATGTAATGTAGCATCAATTGAGAGAGGGTATCAGTATTTGTTTTGAGTTACCAAGAGAAGCATGATTATGACATGGCTATAGTTTCCATTTGCAAGTTAAGCATGACATTGGAGATGTCATGGTATGTTACGTTGACAAGGGGTGGGTTTATAATGGCTGCTCTTGGTTGTTAACACTACATCTGGAATTTAATTAAAACCCAAGCAACTGGGCACACCTGTGAGGGACATTTTTTTTCTCTTAAATCATTCGAAGTGGGAAGAGTCATATTTAATGTGGATCTTTTGAGGAGGGAAGACCCTCCCTTAATCTGGGTCACACCTTTTAGTGGCAGCCTACAGAAAGGACATGGGGAAGGTGGCTCGTCTTTGGCTGCTTCCTCTTGCTGTCAGGTCCATTCCTTCACTAGCACAGGGCCTCCTCCTTCAGGATTCCAGCACATGCTGAAGACCTGATGAGGCGTCCAGCCTCAATGAACAACTATTAGATTCTTGGACTTTTCCATTGCTGGGCAGCCATTGCTGGACTAGCTGAACCACAGCCTGTAAGCGACTAACAGATCTTCATATTTACCATTGACCTATTTCTCTACCTACTTACCATGACTAATAAAAGACCCTTGTCTCAAAATAAAAACTCTATGGAGCATGTGTGGTGGCAGAGATAGGCAGAGATCTCTGTGAGTTAAAGGCTATAGCAAGTTCCAGGCCAAGTCAGAGAAGCTGCACAGTGAGACCCTATCTGTAAAAGAATTGTATAACCTAGCAAGAAGACAAGGGGCCATTCAATGCATTCAAAATTAACTGCGGGGAATGGAGAGGCTGATGTGGAAAGTTCTTCTGTATATGTGTTGTTTTATTGGTTAATAAGATGATGCTTGGGTCTATGACAAGGCAGAATAGAGCTAGGCAGGAAAACTAAACTGAATGCTGGGAGAAAGAAGGCTGAGTCAAGGAAAAGCCATGTAGCCTCCACAGGAGATAGATGCTGGATGTTGGAAAGAATCTTACCTGTAGGCCACAAACATGTGGAGATACACAGATTAATAGAAATTGGTGAATTTAAGATATAAAAGCTAGCCAAAAAGAAGCATGAGCTAATAGGCCAAGCAGTGTTGTAATACTACAGTTCCTGTGTGATTATTTCAGGTCTGAGTAGCTGGGAACGAACAAGCATCCTCTAACTACAAGAGATGGCTCAGTGGTTAAGAGTATTGACTCCTCTTCCAGAGGAGGACCCAAGCTCAGTTCCCAGCACCTACATGGTAGCTTCACAACCCTTGTTTAATTCTAGTCCTAGGTGATCAAATGCTCTCTTCTGCTCTCCTTATATACCATGCATGCATGTAATACACAAACACATATGCAGACAAAACTTGGATACACTCATACTTTAAAAAAAAAAAACTGCTTCAAGGGGAAAAAGTAACAGGATTCTTCTGACACAGGCACATACTTTCTCAGTGCTCCACACTGTGACTGCCAATCATTCTCTCTCTCCTCTCTCTTCCTCCTTCTATCTCTCTCTGTCCTCCACCCTCACCCCAATACATAGCACAGGCTGGCCTGGAACTGTGCAGAACAAATGGCCTCTGACTCAACCATCTTCCCACTTCAATGTTCATAGTGCTTGGGCTACAGGTGTGCATCACGGCAGAAGACTCAGTAGAGTCCGGGCATCACGGCAGAAGGCTCAGCAGAGTCCGGGCATCACAGCAGAAGGCTCAGCACGGTCCGGGGAATCACGGCAGAAGGCCCAATGGTCCGATCAGTTTCTGCACACGGAAGTGTGGACTCCAGAAAAAGAACATCCTTTCCCCAACTCCTGTGTCAGGAGAACTCCAATAGATTCACATCAGCTCATGATAAAGGGTCAACTAGTTGACAGAGTTGAGGGTTAGAGAGATGATTCAGTGGTTAAAGAGCACTGGCTGCTCTTTCATAGGACCTGGGTTCAAACCCAAGCACTCACATGGTAGCTCCCAACCATCTGTGACTTCAGTTCCAGGGGATCCAATGCCCTCTTCTGGACTCTATGGGCAACAGCCATGCATGTGGTGTACAGACATACATACACAGGCAAAACACTCATATATGTAATCTTAACAAACACACATACACTCTTTGGTGGTTTCTCACAGTAGGAAGAAAGTAGTAATAAAATGTTTAACAGAAGTATGTGAGCACATATTTGACATGCGTGTGCATACCCATAATTTCCAGGTGGTCAGAAGAGGATGCTGGGTGTCCTGTTTTATTACTCTGACTTATTCCTTCAACCTTTTGTTTTGTTTTTCAAGGCAGGGTCTCTCTGTGTAGCCTTGGCTGTCCTGGAACTCACTCGGTAGACCAGGCGGGTCTTGAACTTACAGAGATCCGCCTGCCTCTGCCTCCCGAGTGCTAGGATTCAAGGTGTGCGCCACTATACCTAGCTACCTTATTCCTTTGAGACATCTATCACTGAACTTGGAGTCAGGGTAGAGACCAGCAAGCTCCAGTGAGCCTCCCATCTCTGCCCACACAGAGAGGGAGTTAAAAGACGATCTTGGCCATGCTCGGTTTTTCTGCATGTGCTGGGAATTTGAGTTCAGACCCTCATGCTCGGGCAGCAAGAATTCTTTCCTCGGTAGCCACCTCCCCAGCCCAGGGGAGTCCTGACCAGGGCTAAAGACAGCAGGATAGTGGTTCCCGTCTCCTTCCCTACATGTATTGTTGGGAGACCCTTCCTCACTTGCTGTCGGCTTCCAGATCGAGTGCCGGCAAGTCTTCTTAGCATCCCCCAAATGCAGGACCATTTAGGAAAGCAGAATTCAGGCCAAAGGCACACACTCCAAAGAGAATACAGTTCAGCTGACTGGAGGCAGGAAGGACAGAGCACATGATGGATACACAGCTCCACAGACACTCGAAGCTTCGCAAAGTCAGTTTAGGGGACACCCGACAAGGAGGGTGGGCAACGAAAACGCAAAGTCAAAGCAAGGGAGCATTCTGTATATAAGGGGAGCCATTAAGAATTTAAAGTTGAGTGAAAGATTTATTAGTGCAGGGAACACACGGACAGCAGAGAGAGCACAACAGAGAAGGGCAGACACCGGTGCAGAGGGCACGGAAGCTTTAGCCTCCTCGCTTATCTGAGAGTTAGGGAAGGACAGTGTGGGCCTGGACGAGGCAGGCAGGGCAAAGAGGAATGAAGAAATGTAGTAATCCAACTAAGTACAGCAGCCTTTCAAATACCTGAGCAGTGCCCTCGAGCTGGAACACCTGCCTTCTCCTTATGGTCCTCAAGATATAGACCTCCACCCCAACCCTAAGGGAGCCATGACTCAACTACCTGGACCAACAGCTGCCTGGAATGAAACTCCCAGAGAAGCTACTGTATGGTGAAGGGGAGCCCAGACACCGCCATTCACACTCCAACCTACTGTTCCTCCTTGCTCACCCTACAGTCACACAGGGACCCAGCAATGGCCCAGGGAGTCTTGAGTGGGCCCGGGTCGGGCAGTGCATTCAGGCTGCACTTGGAGACATCTGATTTGTGCCCCATTTGAAGGTCAGGACCCAGATAAACAGAAGTTTCCTCAGGAAACGGGAGAAGAGTCGCCTTCAAAATGTACATGCCGATTCTAGGGTTTTCACAAGATCAGGAGGGCAGGAGCAAATTCTTCATGGGACATAGGTATTGTCTCAGATAGGGTGCCGGGGTGGGGCGGGGGTTAGAGCAGCTATCAGACCAAAGACTGTGCTGGAAAGGAAACATATAAAACAGGTCCTACCCAAACCCACCCTACCCGGAATCCCCACAATAGGAGCAGCAAAAAAAAGGTTTTAAGTTTTTTTTTTCTTTTTTTTTCCTTTCTTAAAAAAAAAAAAAGTAAATAAATTAAATTGCCAACAATGTGGCTGGGCTGGAGAACAGGAGAGCCATAATCAGGCTATTCTATGAAAACAAAAGTGGGTAACAGAAGGGACTTGTGACTGCGAATATAAACAGTGTTGAAGGAAATCAAACTCACTACAATCACAGGGCTGGGGAGGGGCCTATGGAGGTACCATGGACATGCCATGAGAGGCAGTGCCTATCCTAGTCAGCAGAGCCAGACAGCAGCTTCCTGCTTTCCTGCTGAGTGTATGAACCCCAACGTCTAACCTCCACCCCAGCCCTGCCCTTCCCTAATTATGGAAATGGGTGGGAAAGGAGTTCAATGGGCATCTCAGCGTCCTAGCCTGCATGGCCAGGGGGCTGCACAGGGGTGCACTCGGCACAGACCTCCAGTCTTCCCAAGAGCCGTCCGTGGTGAGCAGGTCCTGACCTCGTTGCTTACTAAGAGGCTGAGCCCGCCTGCTCGGATGCCCTGGTTTCAGAGGAGAGGGACAGTTAGAGATTCCTTACTCTGCCCTGATCCTCTAGGGAAAACAAATGTCTTTGTGCTTTCTGAAAATGTTTGGGAGCCGGGGACCTTAGGCAGGAGAATACAGAAATGGGGATTTCTCCACCCAGACCGAAACTTTACAGACATTTGGGGGAATGAATATGGCAACAGGCAGGAATTTGGGCTCACCCACTGAAAGGCCGACCCAAGTGCCCCAAGGTCCTTCGTGCCAGAAAAGCAGGGAGTGTGTGGCTCAATTACAAGCCATGACATAAGGACAGGGAGAACTCAGGGCTCAGTGGCTGGAGCAGTGGGCTCTCCAATTCTACCTCTCCTGGCAGCCAGTCACGCTCTCTCAGATCTCCTCCACACCGTGCGCAAATATCATGACGAGCCCCGGCTCCTGCACCATGTCGTCGCCCATGTGCTGGTTCTCGCAGGCCATCACCACGACGGCCTGCTTGCCAGGGATACGCTTGGCCACGTAGTTCTCATAGTAGCGCCGGTTCATCTGTCTCGTCTCTAGTGTGGCCAAACCCTGGGGCCAGCTCCGTTCATGGGCATTTTCAATCAGCTCGTTGACAATAGAGGCCGGGCAGCCACTTTCCACCAGCGAGCGCTTGATTACAGCCTGGAGCACGGCATCAGGCGTGGAGATCATCCCTCCCCAGCGGGTCACTCTAGCAGGCTGGAGGGAGTTCACCCACCTGTGGAGAGGGTTGGGATGCTCATTCCAGATCATGCCTTCCTCTGCTCTGGCTTTTCCCCTAACAGAAATGACTGCTCTGTAGGGTAGTTGACTTTCTTTGCAGCACTGGTCCAGAAAACCCAAATCTTTGCCTAGTTGGTCCTGTCCAGGTCCCATCACTCACCATATTCAGCCCCGCGAGTCTAGACTGTTATTCTCTGAGGTCCCAGCGTGTGCCTAGCATGCTGCAGTGCCTGCTCCCCGCAGCGTACTGGATGAAGAGCTGTGTCCTCTCAGCACCACTGCGCTCCAGTCTCACACTCACAGTCTGGGCATCAACTGTGCAGGCCTCCCCAACCTCCCCTGTTCACTTGCTGGGTTTCCCCACACTTTAGATGCCTCTGGAACTTGCTCTGTAGACCAGGCTGGCCTCGAACTCACAAAGACCTACCTGCCTCTGCCTCCCTGAGCGCTGGGATTAAAGGCATGTGCCACCACTGCCCGGCTCCTCTGGGCTGCAAATTATCCGTTTGGTTCTGAGTACCCCTCAGCTGACTCTGACAAACTGCATCCTCAGGTAGGGGTCCTCCTCCATCCACCCCAATGAACAAGAGATCAGTACTGGAGCTGAGGGTTTTGCTCCTCTTGCTGCCTGTCCTCCACCCAGCAGTGGCCCTGCCCGATTTCTCTTATTGCTCTCCTCTGCTCTTCCTCCTTTGGGGCCTTGGTGCCAGGCCATGGAGCGAGAGACTGCACACCCATCCCGAATGACACTCACTCGAGAATCTCGTTGTACTCGATTGTCTCCTCCAGGTTCTGAAGGTTGGGGTTGACGCTGCGGATCGCACGCATGTAAGCCTTCAGCAGCTGGATGTCTCGCTTCTGTGGGGGAAAGGACAGCCAGAGGGGACAGTCAGGCCAGACAGCAACCTTGAGAATGAGGGTGCTTACAATATCTGCGGAACAGTACTACAAATTTCTACGAGAGGACGGCAGGGCTGTCTCACGCCGGCTGACTCCCCAGGACTTAGCTTCGTGAAGAAGCCACTCCGTGGGTGTCAGGTGACTGAGTGACGTGAGTGGATGTAGGAAGTGAGGACATCCCAGCTGACCCTCTACAGAGTATCTGCTGTGGTCCCACGGGGGGTCTGTGATGGGCAGGTTATTTAGGCATGCCCCCTCACTCGCTGGGCCCCACCTGTTCCGCCAGCTGGTGCTTGTGCTCAGCCGATGTCTTCTCCAGTTCTGCGATTCGCGTCTGCTGCTGCTGCACCACGGAGCGCAGGTGCTTAATGCAATTGTGATTTGGCAGCTCATCTTTGGGCATCTCCAGGCTGCAGTCCAGAGTGGGGTAAGAGAGAACAGGCTATTCAACAGGACCTGCGTGCTAACGGCTTCTTCAGCTTCTTCTATCCGCTGCTCACACGGCCAACCATCTTTCCAGCCTCCTCTCTTCACTTTCTTTTCCTGGCCCCACATACTGAACTTCCACCCATCGAGACTTAATGTTCCAGAGGACCCCACCAACACCTTAAGACAAGGTCTCGTGCGGCCAGACTGGCCTCCAACTTGTGCCAAGGATGATCCTGACACTTCTGATCTCCCCCACACCCCCAACTTTGTGTATAGGAAAGCAAGCACTCTACCAACTGGGAGTAACACATCCCCACCCCCACCTCCACCCCATCTTCTGAGCCTCTAAGAGCCTGCCCGATTCTTAGGATGCCGTTCTAAATTAGGAGGGAAACTGCTGTGTCCTGTCAGGCTGCTCAGTGGGAGTCTACCAGCACACATATTTCTTCTGGGCAGTCCTGGATTGCTGTTCCAGGTACCAGTGTTTAATCGAATATTTCCCACCCCACACAGACAGAAAATAGGGCAGAAGGGAACAAGAGAGGCTAGAAACTAGAACCGGCAGTCTGATGGAGAGAGAGCAAAGGGCCTCCATCTTCAGTGTTATCAGAGGACTGCTGTCCTCTCTTTTTTAACAATACAAGAGCAAAGTGGCCATAGCTGGAAAGTGAGATCTGTGGGCAGGGAGCCTACAGGAGCGTAAATGGAAGGCCTTATCTGAACGGGGCAGAGGGAGGGACTCTCACCCACAGCCCTGTTCACAGGTCACGGGCCGCTTCGGGTTGTGCTCACAGTCACTGAGGTGGGACATGAGGTTGTCAAGCCGGACAACAGCACTGCAGCCAAACACAGCGTTGTCACAGGCGATCTGCAGCTTTGACAGCATGTTCCGCATGATCCGGGGTACGGGGCGCAGGTGGGCGACCGTGACAACGCTGCGGTCTACCGGGCACGTCTGCTGCTGAGAGAACCATTGGGTGATGCAGGCGTTGCAGAAAGCATGCTCACAGTGAGGTGCCTAGAAGGGACAGGGAGGTGCAAAAGGGACACAAGGGAATTATCAGGAGCTGAGAGCCTGGATCTGATAACCACGAAGCCAGCCAAGCCTCTGAGCTGAGAGCCTGGATCTGATAACCACGAAGCCAGTCAAGCCTCTTGAGCTGAGAGCCTGAATCTGATAACTGTTAAGTTGGAAGCATAGCCTCTAGCCCCTGGCATCTATCCCAGCCCCCTGGCCTGGGAGTTGCATTGCTCTGGACTCCAAATCCCAGCATGCCAGGGTATTTAAGTGGGCTCCCAGAGGAGAAACGTGTGGTTCTGGGTTTGCATGGGCTCCCTGCCTTTCTGTTTCCCCACCATGCGCTCAGCCACCCGAGAGCATCATTCTTAATAAAACGATGGGCATTTTGATTTGGTTTGATTTGACCTAATTGGATTTCTTGCACCGGCAGAGCCGCCTTTCTTATTATTTTTTCTTAACAATAACCATGAAGCCAGTCAAGCCTTGGAGCAGGTTCTAGGCCCAGAGGTCCAGGGGTTGGTCACAGGGTCATGGCAAATTATAGATCTATTTGGGGCAGGGCGTTTTCGGGTCGGGCATCCGACTTACTTCTGTGTTTAATAGTACAAATGAGTTGTGAGCCAAGATAAACAAGGTTACACAATAGTAAGAGACATAAATAACACCCAGGACAATGGGGTGATGACACAGGCGGTCAATCACTAATTGCTGACAGGACTGCACACACAACGATTGCTAAGACGTCTAGAGGAAGGCAAGGTCGGCCACAGCAGATCCCAGGCTTGAAGAGGATTCAGATGCAGTTTAGAGGGAGCAAAACCTCACTAACCACAGCAGAAATAAGACAGTACAAGAGCTGGGTGGTGGCGGCACACAGCTTTAATCCCAGAGGAGGTAGAGGCAGGAGGATTTCTGTGAGTTCCAGAAATCTATCTTAAAAAACCAAAGAGAGAGAGAGAGGGAGGGAGGGAGGGAGAAAGGGAGGGAGAGAACAAGAGTTGCTGTGGCCGTGCATGGGCTCAGGCAGAAGTCTCCTGAGTGCCTGCCCTAGATGGCAAAACCTTGTTAGCCCAGAAACCAAATGGAGCTGGTGGATGACTCAGCAGGCTAAAGCCCTGCCAGCTGCTGCTGAGCTCCAGGGACTGCGTGTGTATTCACGAGCATGGACAGACACACTGAGCAAACACGCAAAAAAACAATCCAGCTGTGGGCGCCCATCTCTAATCCCAGCTCTCTGGAGGCAGAGGCAGGCAGATCTCTGAGTTCCATGTCAGCCTGGTCTACAGAGTGAGACTTTGTCTCAACAAACAAGCAACTGTCCCCTGGAATCCCTAAACAAACAGGTTGGAGAGATGGCTCAGCAATTAACAGCATAGGCTGCTCTTCCAGAGGACCCAGGTTCAGTTCCGAGCACCCACATGGAGCTCACAACAACCTCTAACTTTGGTTTCAGGTGTTCTGACAGTTTCTTTTCTAAATACGTGTGGAATTCTCCTTTCCCTCCCTCCCTCCCTCCCTCCCTCCCTTCTTCCCTCCCTCCCTCTCACACACACATACACGTAAATAAAAATAAAAAATATTTTTAAGACATGAAAGGAAAACAAAAGACCCAACAAGAAAGCAAGTGGCCAGAGTCAGGAAAACTTTCTTGAGAGGTAAGAGTCTTGGCTATGTAGTCTCATTGTCCTTAGGCTTGTCCTACCTTCCCCACTCACAGCTGCTACACTGGGCTCCTAACCGAAGGATCTCAAAGTCCTGGCTTGATTACAAACAGGTTACAAAACCTGTTTCAAAAACCAAAGCAACCCCTCCTCCTAACTACCTCCCACAATTGTATATACTGTATATATTGTGTATACACACACACACACACACACACACTCATTTCTTTGAGAAGGTTGGTGCCCTGGTCCCTGAGACAACACTTTCTGGCACTCAGCAATGGGCGACAATACTTAAGTCAGGTTAGTTTTTGACTTCTTGGGTGTGCAAGTGCAGATGAGCCGTGGAGCTGCTCCCCACTCCACTGTGGCTCCCGGAGACTGAGCTCGCCATCAGGCTTGTGTGGAATGTGCTTCACCCATCTCACAGGCCCAGGTTTCACTTTTTAGAGACTCAGAGACAGGGCTGGGGAAACGGCTCAGCAGGTAAAGGTGTTTGAGACCCAGCCTGATGGAAGCAAACTGTCCTTTGACTACCTCATGTCATGGCACACTCATGGCCACTCACTACACACACAGAATAATAGGTAAAATGTTAGTGGCCCCATGTTTTTTTTAAAACAAAGTCACACGTGGGCCATCCTATCTGTGAAGCAGCTATGTAGGGAAGGCAGGTGCCAACACACCTGGTTCATCTTCAAGCCTCTAAGAAAACAACCTGAGATCTGTCTGCTTTTCTCCTCTATTGCTACGAGCCCATTCCAAGTTCCTATCACACCATCTCTGACCTAAATTATTAAGCATGCCTCCCAACTGGTTTCTCTTGCCTCTTCTTATCCAGGCTGCATCTATCAGTCAGAACGATCATTTGAAAGGGCAAACCGGGCTGGGGATACAGCTCAGTGCAGAGAACCTGCCTGGCAGGAACGAAGCCCAGCTGCCATCTCTAGCACCACAAAAAGGAAAACGAGAGCTAAATTCCTGGCTTCCCTTAAACACTTGCAGTCATCTGTAAGGCACTAACTAGAGAAGGATTGGTGAGATAGCTCGGAAGATGAGGGTGCTTGCCGCACCTCATGTTCAGCACCCAGGACTCCTGTCGAAAAAGAGAATTGAGGGGGCTGGAGAGATGGCTCAGTGGTTAAGAGCATTGCCTGCTCTTCCAAAGGTCCTGAGTTCAATTCCCAGAAACCACATGGTGGCTCACAACCATCTGTAATGAGGTCTGGTGCCCTCTTCTGGCCTGCAGACATACACACAGACAGAACACTGTATACATAATAAAGAAATAAATATTAAAAAAATAATAATAAAAAAAGAAAAAGAGAATTGAATTTCATAAGTTGTCCTCTGACCGGTGTGTTCGAGGACACACATGCACAGACACACTCTAAATGTGATTTTTAAAAATGTAATTAAATTACATTAGAAGATACTTTTTTTTTTTTGTAATTGGAAAAAGTTTTTCACACAATCTCTTCTGAGCCCCTCCAACAGGGAGTGAGGGACCTTGGAACACTCAGTCTTAAATGGGAATCTTCATCAAAGCCCTCGACACAGGGCTCAGGGGATCCTGAAGAGGAGGTGGGAAGATTTTAAGAGCCAAAGGAGACGGAAGGCAGCAAGGAATCAAGGCCTGCTAGACAAGACTGAGGCAGCATGCACAGGGCCTGGGCCCAAGCCAGCTGGCATCCCGGCACTTCCCGGGGGAAGCGGACACGAGCCCCATTCCTAACTGAGAACCGCCACAAAAGAAAAATTAGTTTTCCCTTGACCTTTGACAATTTTACTTTTATTATTTTCAATCATGTGTAGCTGTGAGTGTCTGCGGGGGACATGTACGTGAGTGTGGGTGCCCGAGGAAGCCAGAGGCTTTGGAACCCCTTAAAGCTGGAGTTAAAGCACTAGAAAGCCACCAGACATGGTGCTGGGAATTAGTCTGGGTTCCCTGGGACACCAGCGAGTCCTTGACACCACTGTGACATCTCTCCAGCTGCAGCTTGACTTCAAAATCATAAATAAGTAAATAGTTCTGTGGTAAGACAAGCCCACACGGGCCCTTAGAAACAAACTGACTACTACGAGGGCCACCTGCCTACTCCCTGAGGAGGGGAACACTGGAGATGGGGGTGGCTCCTGACTTTGGGCTCACTGACAACCATTCATCTCTACAGGTGACTCTCCTTAAATGATGGTGCCAGAGAGCAAACAATGCTCTGCCAAGAAAGAGGGGCAGGACCCCCGTGACCTCTTGACACCACCAGACAGTTGCTCACATCCATCTAAAGTGCCTTTAACGGCAATAGGCTCCAAAGACACAGAAAGGGCTCTGGTTCCAGGACTGATGGACCTGACTCTGCTCCTTCCGGCGGCTGAAAACTGGAGAGGAAGAGTCAGCTCAGTCTGGAGGGAAGCCAGCCCTGTGAAGAGTCTAAAAGCAGCAATGAGATGACTGTAATTGGTGTCCTGGTTTGGAGAATTGTATCATCTCAATTGGCCAAGTGGCAAAGGAATAATTGGTATTTGCAAAACGAGGGCAACAAGGCTCATGGAGGATGATGTCCCATGCACGTCTGTGTCAGTGAGATTCACATTCAGTTTGCCTGGCAATTCCGAGCTTCTCAACCTATCCCGGGAGAAGACAAATGACTCAGAGCCTGGTCGGGCTGGTAGAGAAAATGACCTATTGGCCTGGCAGCTTTCACATCAAAGAGCATGGCTCCACCAAACCTCCCAGTAGCTCCCAGGAAGAAAAAGGGGTCCCCATCTGTTAGATGCTAGACTCGAGGCAGGCAAAAGAGGTTCCAGGGAGACAGCTGGGCACACAAAGCATTCGCTGTCCGAGTGCAGCATGAACTGATCAAGCAAGCCTAGTCATGGACAGAACACAGACCTTAGAGTTCTCACACAAAAAAGCAACTACCAAGCCATTGTGGGAAGAAATACACAGCTGACTATTTTATTTTTAAGATTTATTTATTTATTATGTATATAATATTCTGTCTACATGTATTCCTGCAGGCCAGAAGAGGGCACCAGACCTCATTACAGATGGTTGTGAGCCACCATGTGGTTGCTGGGAATTGAACTCAGGACCTTTGGAAGAACAGGCAATGCTCTTAACCACTGAGCCATCTCTCCAGCCCCCCACAGCTGACAATTGTACACCACAAATATCTCAATAAACCCAGGTCTAGATACACTCCAGGATGTCATTATTTTCCTTGTAACCACAAATTCTCCTCTGTACCAAAGCTCTGCTGGGGGCAGGAATGGGAGAAGAACACAGGGACCCCCAGGAGTCCATTCCTCAAAAGTATGTTCTTTGGTAGTTTTACTGCCATAGGCTGCCCCCGCAAACCTGCCCTTATACCCACTCACCTGTACTGGCTCCTCCAAGACTCCGCTGCAAATAGGGCAGATAAGGTCCTCGTCAACGTCCCCCTGGAAACGTGTTACGTCATACCCCATGTCTCATCACTGAAACCCAGGTCCTGGAAGCAGTAACAAGAAAAAAAGGTCACTTTAGAAAAAGCCGCATCGATGTGGTCAAAACACCTGCTCACTGCCAAATCCCATCATTCACTCCATGGACATTCATTGAGAATCTGGTACCCAAGGGATGCGAGGACTAATCCGGGGAGAGCAGACATCACATTAGCGCACACACATCACGATGCGATGCAGGTGTCCCTGGAGGCTGAGACAGACAGGACTCCCAGCCCAGGCTGGAAGAAGGGAGCTTCTGAGACATTTTCCAGAAATGTGTCCTTAGGGCAGTAAGAGCTAGCTAGGTGGAAGGCGGGCCTGAGGAGTACAAAGAGCTGTCAAGACAGAGTCTAAACAAGCCAGCAAAGGCCAGGCCACCAAGAATTCCACGTGGAATTAGACTCCGGCACAAAGGCCATGAGCTGTCACTGAACGGTTTAACAAGGAGTTGATGACATTTCTCTTTTGTGCTAGAGCGCTTACCTACTGTGCACAAGTACCCGGGTTCAATCCTCAACATCAAAAACTATCGCTGGGTACAGTGGCGCACACCTTTAGTCCCAACACAGGGGAGGCAGAGGCAGGCGGATCTCTGAGTCCAAGGCCAGCCTTGACTACAAAGTCAGTTGCAGGGCAGCCAGAGCTACATAATGAGACCTTTTCTCAAAAAACCAAAACCAACAAACAAAAAAAAACTCATTGTGCCAACAGGGAAGCGACTGGAGACAAAAAACTGTAGGTGATGGTGAGAACCTGAATGAGTGCTTGTGACGGGACAGAGAAGAGCAAAGCTGCTCTGCTGCCTTGGAGCTCACAAAGGTCAAACCCAAAGAAGTCAGACTGAACACTGTCCCCGGCCTCTCTGTCTACCTGACCGACAGGTCAGACTGAACACTGTCCCCGGCCTCTCTGTCTACCTGACCGACAGGTCAGACTGAACACTGTCCCCGGCCTCTCTGTCTACCTGACCGACAGGTCAGACTGAACACTGTCCCCGGCCTCTCTGTCTACCTGACCGACAGGTCAGACTGAACACTGTCCCCGGCCTCTCTGTCTACCTGACCGACAGGTCAGACTGAACACTGTCCACGGCCTCTCTGTCTACCCGACTGACCGGTCAGACTTGAGTTGAACACATGATGTTATGCTGATCCCTCAGCCTGGGATGGTCTTGAAGAGGTGAGTCAGTTCTCAGGACTCAGAGTCAGACCATCCAATTTTATTTTGTTACTTATTGCGTGTGGGATGGGGACACACATACATACATGCCATAGTACATACATGAGGTCTGTGGTGGTTTGAATGAGGAATGTGCCCCACAGGCTTTAACAATGGGTCACCAGTTTGTGGTGCCACCACCTCATTTCCCGTTTTCTCATTCCCTCTCTCTGTATCCCCCCCTCGTCTGTCTGTCTCTCTCTTTCTACCCCCTCCCCCTTCTCTGTGTGAGGATAGAAGATGTAACAGTCAGCTACCTGCTCCTAGTCCTGCCAGCGCCCAAGGCCTTCCCCACCATCACAGACTCTAGTCCTCTAGAACCTTAATGCAAGACAACCCCTGCCTTAAGTTGTCCTTGGTCATGGTGTTTCGTCACGGCAACAGAAGGTGACTAGACAGTTGTGTTTTGGTAATTTCCAGCCTCCTGAATTTTAAAAAAGTTTATATAGAAGCAAAACAACACCTTAGCATCACCAGGAAGCCTGTAAGGGAGAATGAATTAAGAACCGTGTGTCACAAGGCACGGTACTACACACCTGTCACCCCAGCCCTCATGGCAAGTCGGGAGGCCGGCCTGCTCCACATGGTTCCAAGCTACAAACCACACAGTGAGACTCTATCTATCTCAGAACCAGAGCAGGCTAGGGAGATGGCTCAGGAAAAGTGCTCTAAGTGAGGACCATGCTGGGGAGGCGGAGATGGGAGCCCCGGGGCTAGCCAAATCAGTGAGCTCTGAGCTCAGTGACCAGTCCTGTCTCCGAAGATAAGGAAGGGAACAACTGGAACACTGGTCTCTACACGCATGCTCACACGCATGCACACAGCTGGTCAGGGCTCATGCTTCACTCACTGGGAGTGTTTGGCAGGCACATCCATTGCTGTTCAATCTCAGCATAACAGAAAAATGAAAAATAACAGTTTAGCAAAAAAAAAAAAAAAAAATCTTCCCAGCGGCAGATTGGTGGTGTACTGCAGCGGTAGACTGCTTGCCTAGAATTGTGCATACAATCCCCAACACTACAGAAAGGAGAATCTTTCTAGCTAGTGTAGGGACACATCCCTTTATTCCTAGCATTGGACAGGCAGAGGGAGGAGGCTTGCCACAAGTTCTAGGCCAGCCTGAGCTACAGTGAGTTCTAGTCTACCCAGAGAGACCTCATTTAAAAAAAAGAACAAAACCACCTTCCTAACCTATAATGTACACTCATACACAGACACATGCGCCTGCGCGCACACACACACAAACACACACACAGAGAAAACATTTGCTGAGTATCACCTACATATCAAGAAGCATGGCAAATCCAAGCTCCTCTAAAGTCACTAATGGAGTCAACACAAGGTTTAAGGAACATGAATGCCTTCAAAAATTGGCCCAAAGCCTTTAATCCCAGCACTCGGGAGGCAGAGGCAGGTAGATAGCAGTGAGTTCGAGGCCAGGACCGCCAAAGATACACAGAGAAACCTTGTTTCAAAAAACAAAACAAAAAGGAAGGAAGGAAGGAAGGAAGAAAGTTACTTAGTTGACTCAAAACTGACTTTCCAGATAACTTTTAAACAATTTTCTCAGCCTAGGCAACACAGTAATTTGGAGCTAAGAAGTTCTTTTTTTTTTTTTTTAGTTTCTCAAGACAGGGTTTCTCCACGTAACCACCATGGCTATCCTGGAACTCACCCTGTAGACTAGCAGACCTTGAACTCAGGGAGATCCACCAGCCTCGGCCTCTGCTTCTCAAGATCTTGGATTAAAGGCCTGTGGGCGGCTGCCTAGCACACTGTAGAATGTTAAGGACCTCTGACCTCTGCCGCTAGAAGTCTGCAGCATTCCCCAAGTGTGACAAACAAGCACCTTTCTGGACCCCGAGAGAGAAGAACTAGCCCTGGCGGACGACCACTGCTTTAGGAAGATGAAGTCAGCATTGAGGCGCATGACACAGGCCTCTGACACAGATAAAAGAGCAAGAAGCAAACCACAAAGCCGTCTGCACGGGACACAGCTCAGGGACAGAGTGCTTGCCCAGCGTGCATTAAACCCTGGGCTTGATCTCAGCACTGATCAAAATAACAAAACAGCCAGAAATCAAAAGCAACTTAGTGTTGTGTAGTCCAAATACTGAAGAGATGGAGGCAGGTAGATCGTTGAGTTTGAAGTCAGTCTGGGCTTCTCTGTCAGTGAAACCTTAACTTAGAAACCAAAAGCATGCCGGGTGGTGGTGGGGCACACCTTTAGTCCCAACACGCGTGTGTCCTGGCACACTGTTACAGTTAGAATTAACCCAGAGCTCTGGTGTCCACTGGGATTGCCATGATGAACATTTATAAATTGTTACGTTTTTAACTTTTTACTTTGATGATTCTGACTTATACTGACTTCATCCTGATTCTCAATTTTTTTCCGCAAAGACAGGGTTTCTCTGTGTAACAGTCCTGGCTGTCCTGGAACTCGCTCTTGTAGACCAGGCTGGCCTCGAATGCAGTGATTCACCTGCCTCTGCCTCCCGAGTGCTGGGATTAAAGGCATGTGTGCCACTACTACTGCCTGGCTTCTCAAAATATTTTTAAAATTTATTTTTATGTGTTTTGGTGTGTAGCTGGAGTATTTCTGTCCCGCCCAGTCCGCTAGACCAGCTTTTTCCCGCCTACTGGATCCTGCAGTCACTTTTAAAATAATCATTGAGAGGCTTAATATTAATTATAATTTTTTTGGCCAATAGCTCACACTTCTTACTGGCTAGCTCTACACACAAATTAGTCCATTCTAATAATCTGTATATCGTCATGTGTCCCAAGCTTACCAGTAATGTTCTGGTATCTTACTCTTCTAGCAGCTGCTGGTGTCTTCTTGACTTGCCTTCTTTCTCCCTGTATCTCTGTATGTATTTCCCACCTAGCAATATTCTTTTTTAAAAGATATTTATTTGTTATGTATACAATATTCTGTGTGTAGGCCTGCAGACCAGAAGAGGGCACCAGACCTCATTACAGATGGTTGTGAGTCATCATGTGGTTGCTGGGAATTGAACTCAGGATCTTTGGAAGAGCAGGCAATGTTCTTAACCTCTGAGCCATCTCTCCAGCCCCTACCTAGCTATATTCTGCCCTGCCATAGACCAAAGCAGCTTCTTTATTAACCAATGGTAATAAGACGCATTCATAGGATACAGGGGGGCATCCCACATCACCTCCCCTTTTCTGTCTAATTAACTAGACAGTCACAGTTACAATCCTCTCGGATCTCAGCTAAGGACATTTTAAGTACAAAACTTGGACTCTTCAGAAGTGAACAGCTATTGGACTGTCACCTACAGTCTGGACATTTAGAGTGTGCTTCTTGCTTCATGTTGTTCTTGTTGGTTGTAATTTCAGTTTTGTTTGTTATTACCTTTTCTTTCTTTCTTTTTTTTTAATATTTATTTATTTATTTATTATGTATACAATATTCTGTCTGTGTGTATGCCTGAAGGCCAGAAGAGGGCACCAGACCTCTTTACAGATGGTTGTGAGCCACGGTGTGGTTGCTGGGAATTGAACTCAGGACCTTTGGAAGAGCAGGCAATGCTCTTAACCACTGAGCCATCTCTCCAGCCCTACCTTTTCTTTCTTATGGACAATACTTGATAGTTCTTATTGTATACAGTTTATGTGAGGATTAGAACATTCTTAATTAGAAAGGGAAAATGTAGGAGCTTGATCCGTTTAGCTAAAGACATTTGGAGGTGACCTGACATGGCATGTTTTTTTCTGATACTTAAGAATGGGGGGAGGGGAGGACAAAGGTGGAGGGGGT